AGCCAGCCCCACCCACCTGCCCACGGAAAACCCAATTCTTGGCGGTGCCACGCCCCTGGGCGGCCGCTGCGCCTGCACGCGCACCTTCTCTTCTTGATTTCTACACGCTTATCTCCGGGGGCCGCAGGCTGTTCTGCTTTCTGGCCCCGCAGGACGTGGGACCCTGGCCCTGCCTGGACACTCTCTCTGCCTCCAGCCTTCTCACCCCATCCCCACCTCTGCGGGGAATTTGTTTCACAGCTGCCGGAAAGGGCTCAAGGCACCACAAGCCTTCCCTGGACCCCTGGGTTTCCTAGATACCTTGAGGGGGCTGTCTGTCTGTCTCTGTCTCTGTCTCTCTCTCTGACACACACACACACACACACACACACACACACACACACTTTGCACGACTCCAGGGTGAGCTACGGAACACGAGACAGGTGTGAGAGACACGCCCTGGAGGTGGCAGCGGAGAATGCCATCCCCTACAGCTGCTCACCGATCCCTTCTATCCCTGGACATCCGAAGGCGTCGGTGTGGGAGGGAAGCAGGGCGTGGGAGGGGTGGGGGTAGGCAGTCGGAGACACCCGCCTGGAAGGAGTGCCCCCTAAAGCAAGCAAAGTTGGGACTGAAATAAAGTCACTGCCATCCAGTGGCTTCGAATCATAGCAAACCCGGAGGGCAGAGTAGACCGGCCTCTGTGGGTTTCTGAGACTCAGTCTAAATGAGAGTAGAAAGCCTCCTCTCTCTCCCCGGGAGCGGCTGGTGATCTTGAACTGCGGACCTTCCCGTTAGCAGCCCAACAAGTAACCCACTATGCCTCAGGGCTTCCCAAAGCTGAGGGACCGGAAGGGTGAATAGACAGACATTAGGAAAGTATGAAACCCAGACTCCACAAGCCTGAGACCAGAGCAGACCTCTGACCTGAATCACTGTTGAGGTCCCAGACAGGGTGGGGAAAAAAAAGAGAATAAAATCGAAATTCACAGGATAAGACCAGACTGACAGGTCTGAGAGAGACTCGTGGAATACCCCCCACCCCCATCAGACTAAGACCCTTAGACTCCCTCCAAACTTAGAACTAAATCCACCTGGGGGCGGGGGGATCACCCGGACAGCCAAACCACAGACAGGTCTATAAAGTGACCACACCGGTGAGGAATATTATCCCCAGAACATTCGACTCTACAAGATCAAATGGGCAACACTAGCTGAAAGCAAAATTCGGAGAACTGGGCAACAGGAACAGTAAGGAAGCAGGGGAGAGTCCTGACACCCTGAGAGCGTCCCACTCATGTCATGGAACAAGCTGTGCATAAATTGATGGACGGGAAGCAAATTTGCTTTGTAAACTTTCACCTAAGCCACAATAAATATTCACGCACGCTAGGTAAAGGTGAGGAGGAAAGACGCTCTAGAGAGGAGGGGAGGGGTAAATTCAAAGATATGGAAGTGAGGGGATACCAAGGAGACGCACTAAATCTGGAGTTGGAGCTGGGGTCGCTGGAGCCGTGAGGCTGGTGGGCGAGAAGGAGGAGGCAGGCCGGCTCTGAGCCATTCCTCTCCCTGGGATGCAGACAAGCCTCAGCCCATCAGGTGCTACTAAGAGGGCACCTGGCTGGAATAAATGGAGGGGACTGTTGAACTTGTCCTTTCCCTCTCTCTCTCTCTCTCTCTCTCTCTGTCTCATTGTCATGGTGAATACTGTCAATACTGTCGGTAAGACCAGATACAAATAAAACTCCTTATCAGTTCTGCCCTGGGAAGTGGAGAAGCTAATTCCAACTCATAGGGACCATAGGGCCTATATAGGTAGCGTTTCTGGGACCGTCCGTCTTCTCGGGCGCGCACAACTTCATCTTCCGCAGAGCGACTGTAAAGACCTAGTGGCTGGCAGCCTAACTCACTGGATTCTCTATATGTAGATCCGGTTTCCTTTTTCTAATCACCAACGGGAGCCGGTAGTCAGAAATGTGTGAGCAGCACGGCGCCTGGCACTGTGTATTCACTGATGAATACACGAACTGAGGAGCTGGGGAAACTTTCCAGAACCCAGCCCGCCCATGCACCCTGAGGCAGTTCCGTGGGGGCTGGGGTGGGGGTGGGCAGCGCATGCAGCCAGACGGGCTCTGGGACTAGTTGCTGGTGTGTTTTGCGTCCTGTCCCCCCACTGGGGGTGGAGTGGGGGTGTCCTGTCAACGCTGGCCCTCTCCCCAGCCCTGAATGAGCCCACCATTGACTACGGATTCCAGAGGCTACAGAAAGTCATTCCCAGGCACCCGGGAGACCCCGAAAGGCTGCCCAAGGTACTTGGAGGGGCGCAACCGGGAGGAGGTGAGGCGGCGCGGTGGGTGGGGGGTGCGGGGGTGCGGGAGAGGTGTCAGGGGTGGAGAGGGAACTGATGGGGCTTCTGGCCTGCTGCGTTCCCCTGGGGCTGCCCCTCCGTCGCGCTGTGTCCTCCCTGCCCCCAGGAAGTGCTGCTGAAGCGGGCGGCCGACTTGGCAGAGGCCCTGTATGGAGTGCCCAGCAGTAACCAGGTAGGGCGCCCTGGGCCGCCGGTTCGCACCTCCCAGCAGCCGCGGCTCTCCCCGCGAGCAGGCCCACCCCGGTCCTTACGCTGACCTTGTCTTTGCAGGAGCTGCTCCTGAAGCGCGCGGCCGACGTGGCCGAGGCTCTGTACAGCGCCCCGCGGGCGCCAGCCCCGCTCGGCCCGCTGGCCCCGAGCCACCCGCACCCCGCCGTCGTGGGCATCAACGCCTTCAGCAGCCCGCTGGCCATCGCCGTTGGGGACGCCACGCCGGGGCCCGAGCCCGGTGCGTTCCGCCGTCTCCGGGCTTCCCCACAGCCCCTTCCTTGCCAGCAGGGCTCCGCTGACGGCCGCTCTCCCGCAGGCTACGCGCGCAGCTGCAGCAGTGCATCCCCGCACGGGTTCGCGCCCAGCCCCAGCTCGCAGCAGAGCGGCTACGGCGGCGGCCTCGGGGCTGGCCTCGGCGGCTACGGGGCCCCGGGCGTGGCCGGCCTCGGCGTACCCGGGTCCCCTAGCTTCCTCAATGGCTCCACGGCCACCTCGCCCTTCGCCAGTGAGTGCCCTCCGCCCGCGTGGGTTGGGGAGTCGGGACCCGGGGTGGGGGGAGCAGAATGGATCACATTCTTGGTCGCCCAACCCATCCCGACTGGATGGCCTTCCGGCGTCTGTCCCAAAAGGCCCGGATTGTGCCCTGGGGCACAAGCCCAGCCCTTCTCCTAGGGTGCAGGTGACCTTTCCCTCCCTCACCTTGGGGTGCCTGCCCTCCCTCCGTCCATTCTTAGGCTGCGCCCTCTGGGGCCAGAGCCGTTTCCGCACCTTTGGCCCTTTTGGCTGACCCTAGTCCTGCACCTTGCGTTTAGCCCTCCCCGCCTCCTGAACAGTATTTATTCGCGGGGGGGGGGGGGGGGGGGGGGGGGGGGGGGGGGGGGGCAGCAGGCACAGGGCTGACCGCCCCCTACTCCACCCCGTCCCCGCCGCCTCTACTCCTTCCTTAGCCTGAGCTTCGGGTGGAGGCTGGTGACCTCTGCCGGAAGTCCTCGGGAGCGCAGTTTAAGCGCCTCGGGCCTTTTGCCACCCACACGTCACCCCCCGCCCCAGCCCTGGTTGGTCAGAGTTTGAGCATCCCAACGAGGAAGCGTGTGGCCATCAGCTAGTTACTTTATTTTTGAGCCACCGCTTCCCTAGTTGTGTGCTCCGCTCAGAATGCTCCCCCACCCCTACCCCCAGCAAAGAATGCCCACAATCCAGGAAGAGCAGGGTTGCAGCGCTCACCGCTCTCCATCGGCTTCTTGGGTTGGGACGGTTCAGAACTGGGCTTTTATGGTTTTGGCGAGCCTCTCTTTCCCACACAGAATTTTAAAGCCAAAGTGTTTTAAACAAGTTAGGACTTACAGTGTACCGACTCTGTGTGAAGCGCTGGGCTGCCAGGGTTAAGGGTTAAGGGTCTCCCGTTCCTAAGAGAGGGTGTCCCTCGGGTCTGGAGCAGCACATGAGCCCAGCAAGGGAGGAGGCAGTTCCTCTATGCCAGGGTGGAGAGATCTAGCCACCTGCTTGTCTTCTGAGTCTGTGGTGCTGCTTCAGATTTGAGCCTGGCTCTCCTCTCCTGGCCCGGAGCCAACTTGTGGGTCCCAAAGCCTTAGATTAGGGCATGGCCCCTTGCTCCAGTTGGACCTCACTGCTCCCTTCTTCCCTTCAACACCCCAAACCCCTCTCTGGGGCCTCCACAGGGCAGAGAAACTGAAGTCTTTTTAGACTACAGTCTAGAGCATCAGCACACACACACACACACACACACACACACACACAAGAATAAAATGTTTCAGCATCACAGGACCTGGCCCCCACCAAGACAGGAGGTGCTCTGGACGCTCCCAGGGGTCAGTCCCACTTTGGAAAAATGTCTTGACTAGTGCCCTGGTGACGCAGTGGAGTATGTGTTGGGCTGCTAACCACAAGGTCGGCAGTTTGAGCCAACCAGCTGCTCCTTGGGACAAAGATGGGGCTTTCTCCTCCCTGTACAGAGTTGCCATCTCAGAACCCCATGGGCAGTTTTTCTGTGTCCTTCAGGGTCTGTGAGTCGGAATGGACTCAATGGCAGTGAGTTTGGTTTAAGTCCTGTGTGCAGTGTTGTCCCCCTGCCCCCTAAGTTTCCATTAGTATTTTAGCTGCCGGTGTGTGCCTGGGGTGACATCTAGAACCGTCCCAGCCAGAGACCCTGGAGCTGTCCACTTGAACCTCCCTTCAGTCTTCTGCTTTGGCAACCAGCACCCGTGCCATTCAGTCCTGAGCTGTCCAAGCCCCTTTGGTCCTCTGGCCTGGGCCTTCTGCACTGACCCTCAATGCCTAGCTCACTCCCAGCTACAAAGTGGGGCTGGAAGCCCTCCTTCAGCCTAGAGAGATGCAGCATATTTTCCAGTTTTGATATCAAGCCTTCCAGGGGGTCCCATGGGCCTCCCCAGCCGGCAATGGGCAGTGAATTACAGGCCCTCTCCCCCTAGCCTGGGTGATGTCCTGGTGTCAATCCATGAGGCTGAGGGTATTTGCTGTTGGAAGCTAGATTGTGTCGTCAGGATGGAGGAGTGTTCTGATAACAAAGACAGCTCCCCCAGCTTCCCTCCAGGAAGTCCCACCCCAATACTCACCACATTGATTGAGTCATGATACGTAGTGACCCTATAGGCCAGGGTAGAACTGCCCCTGTGGGTTTCTGAGACTCTGTTTAGAAAGCTCCATCTTTCTCTTGAGTGAGGGGCGGCTGGTGGATTCGAACTGCTGATCTTGATTTGAATGCCTCTGATGTGTACTGTTATGCTCAAAGCATAGCCTACTGTGCCACCAGGGCCTCAATATTAGCAACCCTCGAATCACAGCATCAGTGATATTTGGAAGTGAGAAGCAAGGAATTGTTTTTCAAATGGGGATGTAGACGGGTAGGGTCCCAAGCCACCCTGGCCAGGTTCTGGTTTGAGGGGGCTGCAGGAAGGCAAAGCAAAGGGCTCTTTGGCTAGACCCATGAGGAAAACAGGAAGATGTGAGGATGTGGGTCTCTGTACTATGTTTTTAAAATCGACTAGCTAGAAAACCATAAGCAAACTCACTGTCATTAAATAGATGCCGACTCATAACAACCCTATAGGACAGGGTGGAACTGCCCTCATGAACTTCTGAGACTGTAAGTTCTTATAGGAGTAGAAAGCCTCGTCTTTCTCCCAAGGAGTGGCTGGTGGTTTTGAACTGCTGACCTTGCAGGTAGCAGCCCAACACATACTCACCACACTACCAGGGCTCCTTGGCTAGCTGGACAAGGACAGTAATGTTCAGGGGCATGCAGGATGAAGATGACAAGAACCTGCTCTCAGCTGTTCAGCTGGAGAGGACCGAAGTGTCGGGGTGGGGAGGGCCAAGGACAGAGCATGGAGGATATTGTGGTGGTGGTAGGGAGCGGTCCAAAAACACTTTATTTGGGGAGGATTAGGAGGCTGTTGGGTGGGCTGTGGCCCCAGAGGAGAGACCTTGTAACAGGAGCTCAGCTGTACCCCAAACTTTAGCCCTGACCACTTGCCCTAGCGCTTCTCTGAATCTTGGCCCCTGACACGAATCCTGTCCTCGGGGCTCCTGGATGCATCTTAGAATGTCAGAATCCCAGGGGTTTTCTGCAGATATCCTAACCTAGTCCATCTCGTGCTCATGCCTTGTGTCCAGGGAACGTCAAGTGTTTAGTTTTGTTCGGCCTATCGGTTTCACTTCATTTTTACCTGGTCTGTACCTGTCACTTTACGTCTGGGACAGGTTTCTAGAATCCCCATCTCAGGATCCCAGAGGCTCCAGGCCTGCCTCCAGACCCTGCCCTGGTCTCGCCAGAACTGTCACAGGACCCATTGCCCACACCAGGGCCTAACTACGCTGCTCACTCTGGTGCTGTCTCCCTGTTGTGTCTCCCACCACCTTCCCTGCTGCGCTTGTCCCTCTCTGCCCCGCCCTGGAGTCATGCCCTCTAGCCCCCCGCTGGCCGCTGCCTCCTCCATGTCCCTCCCGGCTGCTGCCCCTACTGCCAGCGTCTTCTCCTTCTCGCCTGTCAACATGATCTCCGCTGTCAAACAGAGGAGCGCCTTCGCCCCTGTGCTGCGGCCACCTGGCTCCCCGCCCCAGGCCTGCCCCAGAGCCCATGGAGACGGACTTGCAGGCAAGTGACCCATACTGCCCTACTGCAGTGCCCAGAGGGCAGACCCTGAAGGGAGCAGCCGGGCTCGGGAAAGGATGGGGATAGAGCAACCATACCTCCCTGTGCTCATGCTGGTTGACCAGTTCTCCCAGGAGGGTGGGTACAGAGTAGGAGCTTTGTGGGGGTCCAAGGGAGGCCCGTCAGACACCACATCCTTGGGTCTCACAGTTTAGCTTGGGGTGGTCACTGTGCCACTAGCTGGGCAATCAATTGACCACTTGACCAGAAGAGCAAGGGAAGCATTGTCCGTGAACTTGAGGCTGAGCCTCCTAAGAGAACCTGGGAGGCACCGCTCACCTCTCTCTTCAAGGTTGGCCCCAGGGCTGGGGTGGCTTACTGCTCCTCTCTCCTTGGTTGCCGCAGACCAGCCTTTTGAGGACTCTGAAAAGTTCCACTCACAAGCCCGGGGACTTCAGGGCCTGGCGTACTCCTAATCCTGGTATGTCGCTGACTCAGTCTTGCCCCCTCCCCTGGCCCTGGGATGGGCTCTCCACCCAAAGACCCTGGCAGGGATGGCAGTTGGGGGTCCAGGTGTTCCCTCTCCAGGACCTGAGATCTGAGCCACCCAGCCCATTCCCAGATGGAACAAAACGACTTCCTGTCCCCGCTGTGGCCAGCCTTCCCCCAGGGCCTCCTCTCCCTCTCCCCAACAGATCTGCAGAAGTTGCCTCCAGCGAGCCTGGCCTGGATTCATGGATTCACACCCAGGTCCTGGATGGCAGCACAGGCAGATGCAGGGCCAGGACTGCAAGCTGACCTCAACCCTCGGGCGTGAACTGGAGAGGCCTTCCTCCCAGGCTAGAGCCCACCGGCCTCACAGGCTTCTCTCGCCTCCCTTTCTCTGGGCTGGTCGGAAGCCCAGCACTGTGCTGATGCTCTTGGCAGGAGAGCATCCTGGAGGAGGGGCTGGGATGCTGGGCCCCCCCTCACTGGGTCGGTTCCTCTGGAAGAGATGGAGCTCATCCAGACCAGGGTCATCGGGTAAGAGGAGCGTGGGATGGCACAGCTCAGGGAGAGGTGGCCTAGGAAGGTCCTGTTCGTATCCAACCCATTTCAGTAATCCCAGCATCCTAACTTCTCTCCGGGGCTTAGGGTGGTGCCCAGAAGCCTCAGGAGGCCTGCCCAGGCTCCTATGGAGTTCCCCAAGGCCGCCCGACTTGGGCTCCCCCGACTCTTTGAGCCCTGTCCCATCATGGCTTCCAGGGTGGGGGCTTTGGACCTGGAGGGTGCAGAAGGCAGCGTGTCAGACCCCTGGATGTTGGGTCTTTATTCACCGATGGATGGCTCCTGGATGCTGCGCGCGCGCGCGCCACACACACGGACTCGGTTGGGATGGCAGAGGACAAGTTGATCCCCAGGTGGCCTCATGCTCTGCTCTTCAGAGTTTGGAGAAATCGGAACAATAAACACAGATGCAGGTGGCCACTCCGTTTCTCGTGCCTGCTTCCTTGGCATGGGTGGGATTGCATCGGAACAGTTCCGCTGTCCTTACGGGGGTCCCCTCCAAACCGGGCCTGCTGGGCAGAGCCTTTGGGGGCACCCCTTTCAATTGAGCAGCTCTTCTCTGCCCTGCATCTGTTTTGGGATACAAGAGGGGCAGGAACTAGGCGTCCCTAGGTCCCTGGGAGCACACTCTGGCCCCTAAGGAGGCCCCAGTGCTCCAGCTGCCTGGTAGGCCACAGTGAGGCGCTGGTGTCAAAGGATGCTGCTAAGAATCAGACAGGTCAAAGTAAACACCTTACCTAGATGCACAGAGGTCCAGGAGTGAGGGCTGGGCCCAGAGTCGGCTGTGGGGCTTCATCTGGCAGGGTGGACCATTTGGGGCTAATCATCTAAGCCATCTCCCGACCACTTTCTCCTCCTTAGGTCGAGGCACCTCCTAGCTGGTCACTTCAGGGTTTAGCAGGAGGGGTGGTAAAGAGGCAAGGTTCTCAGGTCCGTTCCCCTCCTTGCAATGAGTCCCAGTCTCACCCCCACCCCCTGAAATGTACCTCTGGGCCCCCAAAGTTGGGCTCTCTGACCTGGAAGCCACTTGTTAGACGGCCCCCCACTCCCTCCGGCTAGGGCAAGGGTCAGCAAATTTTTGAGATGGAAGAGCCAGTCCTGTTTCTCACAACAATTTAAAAGTCATTCGAGAGCCATGAATAGGTTTTTTACAAACAAGTGAAGGCACTAATCTGAATAATGTCCTCTGATTTTGTTCAGTTGTACTTCAGCGCCACACGTATGTGCGGAAAGAACCTTATACGGCTCGTGAGCCACAGTTTGCTGTGTGGGGAGCCAGTGGTGTGGTGGCCATTCGATGTGATCCGAACCGAACGGTCAGCAGTTCGAAACCACCAGCATCTCCCCAGGGGGAAGACTGAGTTTTCTTCTTCTGTGAACAGTTCCAGTCCCATAACCCACAGGGACTCACGGCAGGGAGTGAGTGCTAGGGAGACCAGTGGCCCACCTCAGGCCTGTGCTTTCCTCCTCTGCTGGCTCTGGCCTTTGGAAACCCTGCCCTTCCCTGACCCACAATCTGGGTCCTGAAACTCTGTGAACAACTCATCTGCCGAAGTGAGTCCTGACCTTCAGAGGTGCTCTTGACCAACCCCCGAGACTCCCCGGGGCCCCATGACAGGGTGCCTTCGTCTGGGTTGTCTAGAGAAGCAAAACTGGTGACACGTGGAGCCATCGATATAAAGGAGAGTTTTGTTCCTTGGAAATGACTCACCCCATTGCAGGGGATGGGATGGCAAGTCCCAACCCCCAGGATCAGGCAGCAAGCTGGAGACCTCTGCTGCCTGCTCACAGGGTCGCAGGCGGTCGCGAAGCCAAAACCTGCAGGGAGAGAGGAGGCCAGAGGATTTCGATCGTTTGTTTTTTCAATAATATTCTGTTGTGTTTTCAGTGGAAACCGACACAGCAAATTAGCCCTGTTCCGACTATTTCCGAGCAAACTGCTCAGCGGCATCAGTTACATGTTATTCAGGGTGCCAGCCTCCTCGTTGATGGCACCCTGGTGGTTCCATTTCCAGTAGTCTAGTTTCCCAGCCCCTTGTCTTCTCAGCTTTGCTTTAGAGTGATTGTTGACCATTTGGTCTCATACAGATTGTACATTGTATTATGGGCGTAAGATTCACATCGCATACAATTCAACCATTCGGCTATATTAGGAAGAGTTGTGCACCCATCACCACAATCTGAAATTTGAGCACACTCTCTTTTTTCCTGTACTCATTGGTATTGGCTCCCCATTTCCCTCCAACCTCCCCTGCACAATTAATCCTGTTGCTGTCTCTGTACATTGACCTCATACATATTTTTTTAATAAGGAGTGCTATACTTAACGGGTAGCCTTTATGTGGTGTGCCAGTCTGTTGTGTTGCTAAAGGGTGACCTCAAGAGGGAGTTTTGGTTCAAGGTTGAAAGAGACTCTCTGGGTGATAGTCACAGACAGTCCTCTGGTCATAGTGGGTCCAGTAAGTCTGGACATTTTCAGAGTCTGTATTCTGTTCTGCACTTTTCTCATGTTGTAACAGGGGCTGGAAGGAGCCCTGGTGGCATAGGGAGTTAAATGTTGGGCTACCCACCGTAGGGCTGGTGGTTCAAATCCACCAGCTGCTTTATGGGGGAAAGATGAGGTTGGTTGCTCCTGTCAAAGCTTTACATCCTCGAAACCTGAGGGAGCAGTCCTGCTCTGTCCTGTAGGGTTGCTAGGAGTCAGACTCCACCGTGGCAGTGAGTTTACCAGGATCCATGTATTGTGGACTTGATCAGAACCGTAGGCAATGGTCGTCGGGCACCATCTAGTTTTTCTGGTCTCAGGGTAGGTGAGGGTATGACTTGTATGGACTAATTTTTTTCTTCTGAGACATTGGTTTCCTTCTTTCTCCATTGCTTCTGATGAGTGGAAGCCAATTGTTGAATCTTAGATGGCAACCCACAAGCTTTTAGAACCCCCAGCTGTGGCTCACTAAACTTGGGTGCAGAACACGAACCTTTCTTTTTCAGAACACGAACGTTGTAAGCTATGTTATACCAGTTGCCCATGTCACGGAGGTCCTACGTTTTCATAACCAGAAAATCAATGGCACGGAATATTTGATTGTCTCTGGAAAGTCCTCATGGCTGTATCCTATATGCATGCTCACACCTATCAGTATGTATTGGTACCTCTATCTGTGCACACATATGTACTCATCCGTACCTACCTATCCTTATGCCTTTACGTAATCCTAGATGACCACGCACTTGTCAGGTAATTACTGCTGGTGTTCATCCCAGACTTACATCCTGAGAACTGGAGGTCAGGCGAGGGGAAGAGTGTAGGGCTGAGAGAGAGAGCTTGGCCAGCACATCTATTTATAGACTAGAGAATCTCAGCCTCGCCAAATTGGCTCATAGCATTCACCATCATGCGGGGATAGCCTTCTGGGCAGCCTGCCTGACTCACGGTACTCTCCCAACCCCCTCCCTAGTTTCTGCTTCCAACCTGCCATCCCAAGACCTGCCCCATTCAGGCTCCAAGGAGCTCCCGCTGGCCCTTCCAGTCTGGACATTGTAGGACTGTATACTGAGCACAGGAAGGCCTGGTCCTGGGACTGGGCAAACGATGAGGCCTTGTGCTTCTGTAAAGAGTTCCAGCCTCAGGAACCCACAGCAGGGACTTCTACCATGTCCTGTAGGGTCGCCATGTATTGGGATCAACTCGATGTCGGTGAGGTGTTTGTTTGTTTTGGTATTCTTGGTTCCTGTGATAAGTCAGATCCCATGAGATGGGACATCAGTCAGTCCTCCATGATCTTAAAACACTGGTCAAGGCAACATTCCAAGGACCGCTGACTTCCCCTCACAACAGCAGATGGAATTCAAGTGTGTGGCATTTCCCCCCACACATCTTCATTTTGGTTCCTCTAGAGACAGAGTTAGAGACAAGTTCCCAGTGTAGGACACAGCTCAGAGTTTTCCCACCCAAGGGGAAGGGATCTGGGATATGGATCTGCTAAAGTCATTAAGGGAATGTCGTACTGATACACAGTCACAATGCTTGCCATAGGGTGTCAGAAGCCAAATCTAGAACAGCACATCCAAGGGCACGTGGGCAGGGTCCCTACAGCCTCTGCGGTGTCACAGGACCAGCTGCAGCACAGAGTCCTTCTCAAACGCACTGTTCAGAGTTGTCACTTGAGATGAAAACTGTCAACCCAATTGGGTAAATATCACACCAAGGTTTTTATAATCCCCTCCTCCCCACCTAAACCAAACAATTGAATGAGAGGTGAGTCACACTGGACCACAAACCCTGAGTCAGAAGCACCTTAGTCCACCAGAGAAGTGTCAGCAACAGTTCAGGTCTGTCGTAAAGGGGAGAGAGAATCACCTTTACAGTGTCAGCCCAAAGCTGGTTCCTGTGAGGCAAGGTCAGACATACCTCCACCCTCCCAGTCACTTTGAGCAATTCTGACCCCAGCCATTCCTCGTAGACTCTATTCCTTTGTGGGCTTGATTATTTGTTGAAATGGCCACGGGGAACTCACAGATCATGCTCACAGGGGCTTATTAGGGAAGTGACGTGTTACATTCAGGATCAGGAGGGACTAAGGATAGTTCTTGGATCAGGACAGCTGCTTCTCAGCTGTGCCCACATGCAGACCTCTCCCTGGCACTTGGCCCAGCCTCTGCCCTGCTCAGGCAAGTGTGACAAAGCTCGTTAGCTCCATTAATAAGTGCCCAGCGGCACCCACTCTGCCAGCATGCCTCATGCCCCCAGTCACTCAGCTCTTTCACTCCTTCAGGTTTGCAGGCCTCTTCCAGCTCTACCAGCAAACACCAAGAGGCACTCCCTCCACCAGCAACACTCCTGCCCACAGGCACTCAGCCCTCTTGCTCTGTGGGTCAGCACGCCCACTGTAACGGCTGTGCTCCGTGCGCTGGGGATGTCTACTGTGCCATGTTGTATTGGTGTCTTCTTTTGCCCCTGTCGCTGTTTCTCTGCCAGTGCTTCTCACCATCTGGCACCACTGCTGGTGCTACCTTTCTCTCTGTCTCCCGGGTCTAAGACATTCTCAGTGCAGGAAGCCTGGGGCCTAAGGATGCACTCCACTCCCATTTCTTCTTCCTGGTGGTAGCGGTCCCTCCTTTTGCCTCTTCAATAGCTCATTTTAACCGACTAATCCCCCTGTTAGGGATCCAAACACCTTATTTGCATTTGCAGCAAGTAGTCGAATCCCCCTTGGTGAGCTATAAAGCACTTTATTTGCATCACCCCTCCTAATCATTTGAGCATGGCAAGAAAAGCCACATAAAAGCAATCCATCACATCAAGGTCTCTAGTGCCTCCCCAAACCAACCAGGGCATCTTCTGACCCTCACCGATAGACTCCACCCTATATCCCCTCATCCATTAATCCTGCAGGGTTCCATTCTCAATACGGCTGCAG